AAAATCAATAAAGAGGGCTAAAGTTACAACGACAAAAGCGAACTGCGCGCTAATGGGTTAACTGTGTGCTACGGAGTTTGCTCCGAAGCACCTGACCTCTGCGCCTTCCGTCAGCGCTGATAAGGGAAGCTGAAATGGAAGGACTACTCTCTTTTGCGGGCATAAGGAGAGGCCAAACAATCGAATACAAATTGCTTCGGCCGCCGCAAATGTACGTGGTCGTGAACATTTCGATCGGTGCGGAGAAACGTTGTACATTGTACTAAAGGCATGTTTTAGCACTACCTGAGTCCTGATAATATGGGCCAGAACGGAGCTACTTAGGTCCCCAGTGCCACCGTGAGGTAGCCAACACGGGCGGTGTTTGTTCACGCGTTGGTGCAAGTGTTGCGCCGTGCCGCGTCATTCGACCGATATACCTTATGCCACAGGAATACTCGAACTGATAACAACCATGTAGGCGGTCAGCATTGGCAACTTGTCCTTGTTTCGTGAATGATTCAGTGTTTCCATTGAAAACGGGCGTCTTGATGGGGTTGCCGTGGAGGCTGAATAACTTAAGGCTGAATGACTTTTAGTCAACCGCGACATTCTCTTTGAAAGGTAGCCGTGTGAATAGCTCGTCTTTCGGCGCTGTTAACACTGGCAATGTCGTAGGTTTATTTTGAAAGTTCATTGATATTAAGCCATCGGGATATCTAATTCCGCGCAATGTATTTTGTATGAACATTATTTCATCTTCAGGAGGGTCTTCCGAGCAGATTCGAGGTGCTCTCGAGGTAAGACAATGAAGCAAGTTGCGCTTATGTCTCAAAGGAAACAAACTGTGAAAGTTCCTCTATTGACCAGTCCAGATTACATTTCTGTAGACCTGCCGCTAGATGGAGCCATCTGGTCTCTCTTTTAACAAGATATCATGATACGGCACCTGATTGTTGGTTTCTTTTTCATAAGTGACTTGCCATGCTGCCTGAGGGCACTTGATACGGTAGAGAATATTTTCCGATTTGACGAGTGTATCTGTCACAATAAACATGTCGTCCATGCAACGATGGTAAAAGTCGAATACATTTATCTAGTTTTGTATTTTGGCTCACTCCAGCTTGGGCATGAATATATCTGCCGGCAGTGGACCGAAGGATGATCCCATAGCCACGCCGTCTTTAAACCGATCATATTTGTCATTCAAGGTGCAGCGCAGCAATGGGCTATTTAGCTCACTCGTAAGTATCCAAACATTCGTTTCTGACTCACTTACACAGTCGCAAATGTAATGCATTGTCTCAATCAGTGGGGCGTTGGTGAAAAGCGAGACAATATCAAAGGAAATCAGTATTTGCTTTATTAATTGTAGCGTCCTTGATGTGTTTGACGAGGTGGAAGCCTTCAAGTAGGGTGTAAGTTGGGAGCTGTTGTTGCACCAGTTCAAGTATTCCCACTAGCCACTGAGCGACCGCATGTTAGGGTGCGTTTATCATGAAGAAATAAGGCGAAGCGGAATTTTGGCCTTGTGCACATTTGGTAACCCATAAAGTTGTGGAAAGTTCGTGTCACTCGGCTTAATACTGTGAAACAAAGCATCGGAATTTCGTGCAAGCTCTGGGTACTCTGTGCTGAAACTTGTTGTGTGTGGTCCGTTTACAATGTTTTACAACAGAACTTTGTCTCATCGCTCAGCACTGTTTCCAACTTATACATACAAGCTTCCCTGTCTAGTAACACAATCCCCACATCCGCCACATGCGGCTTCAGCTGGCTCAGGAAGTGTTAGAGAAGCATGCCTCCCCTGTACGCGGTTAGCAAGAATAGACACAACAGAATCCAAAATATACTCTGTTCCTCTGCAGCTAACTTCCGCGGCACCATGATTCGCAGTGCTAGGTTTGCTTCAAATCCAGCCAAATTGGACTGCACCGTGTCACGTTGATTAAGCGCCTGCCGTCTCAGTGTCTTGTTATTGGGATACGTTCGATCAAACCTAAGCATTACCAATGCAAGGCGCTACCAAGCGGGGTCAAACACTTAGCATGTGTACAGACCTGGGATGTAAGCTGATCAATAGACAAAATGCGGTATTAGTTAGCTTGCAATATGAAACAAGATCAACTGACCATATACGGTTTACCGTGACGAGATAACCGACTGCAGTAATACGTCGCGCATCGGCAGCATGATTGGACGCGAGCAGACAGCCAACGATGGTGCACCGAAGAAAATCGGCCAGGCAGACCGTGTTCACAACGGATTAGACGAAATCACAAGCGGTTGCACGGCCGCGCTTTTCATAGTGGGAGGTACGTTTGTCTCAAAAACGTCACGGATGTTTAAGATAGAATAAATATCGTCAACCGGGTCCAGATGTTTGAAAATTTGCGTGGGATTGGAGGGCCAGATAGAGAGCACTGCAGACAGCAGAAGTACATTGTTACAAGGAATAAACCAGTGTACGCAATCGAAGGTCCCTGATAACATGATATATTCTACTGGTTCAGCCATAACCGCACGCCTGTGTGCGCCACAATGAAATACCCATGCAATCTGAAAATGCCTTCACGTTATTCCACCCATACAAATGCACCGCAAGGACGATGGCTGGAACTCGGCTGCAGTTGTTTACCTACCAAGCAGAATGATGTATTCTTCCAATCCATATGGCCACTTCATCTAAAGCAAAGCCAACTTCAGCGTACATTGGTAGTAGGAACACACAACACAGATGAAACTATTGAACTTGGAATGCAAAAGCGAACTGTTAACTTACAAAATACGCACCAGAATGTTGCTAATTAGCAGCACTACAGAAACGAAGACCTAGCGATAGTAAGTTTGTGTCGTAGGACATGTAATAGCAACTTACGCACAGCGACATCCAAAACTGGAATTGCACAGAACCTCATACGTCCGTTTCTTGTACACCACATCATCTAGGCAAATGGTTGCTGCCTTATCAGCAGGAACCAGAGATCCAGGAATAATCTTCCCCTCGTGTTCTGCTCGACAAACATAAATACCTCCATCCACGCCGATTGCATTTTTCGGTACATGTCCATCTTCAGCCGGCACCCATGATAGAGTCATTTGGTAGCCGGGCCTACATTTGGCCATATGGAGATTGTGGACACGTAGAAAGCTGAGCTGAACTTCTAGACGATAGGTCTAAACCTATATAACCAAAAACAACAAAAGTCAATGGCTAACATGATATTTGTACTTGCATTTTGTGACACAAATAAGTGGTATATGATAGCATTCTAAATCAATTTTGAATCATCCAGGTGTAGTTACTACTGTATTTTGTTTTCAGATGACTGGCGCAGTTTTCAAAATATCCCCCGGTCTCCGGTTACAGAAACTCTCACTACTACCTACAGGTGATGGTATGGTCACTTTCAAGGTATGCAATCATGACAACACCTCGGGAGTCCCAAAATCGGATGTTATCACCATCTTCTTCTCCTTCTTCGGCAATACACGATAGCTGAGGGTGAGAAATACACCTCAGCTAATGTGCCGCAATAAAATACGATAACCTACAAAATATTACACCACAAATAATTCAAAAAGCTAGTAATATACTGTTAGATATTATGCTATGCATTCAGTGTGAGATCATAATTGGAGGGGGAAACTAAAGGAGAGATAGACGGACAAGGAAATCCACAACACACGCCAGTATGTCCAAGCAAACGTGTTCATCGTCTTTAGGACCCCAGCCAGGCAGTCAGGATGCATCAAGTGACGCCAACTTCGAAGTGAAGATTTTCATTTCTCTCGACCAAGTCATCGCTTGGCCTCCCTTCCTCCTCTTCCAACCACACACCCAGCGTACAGACAATGCACGTCGCGGGAGTCCGTGTGCTGGCATGCACAACAAGTGATCCAACCATTGGAGCCTGGTGCGTGTTGTAATGATGCTAAGCGGTTCACCCGCTCCTCCTTCGCCAAATACGCGGTGCCGAACACAATTATTGCTCACGCGGTGTTCCCACCAGACATGAGCTAAGCTGTGGAGGTAGCGATAATCAAAAGTGACGAGCTTGTTTATGTCTGTCGACCTGATGGGCCAGGTTTCACAACCGTATAAGAGGGTTGAACGGACGGCTGCATTGCAACTCTGGTCTTTACCGCTTAGAGTGATGTGGCATTGGCGCCACAGGTACCACAGATGGGCAAAAGCCCCTCGAGCTTTTGGTATATGGTTCGCAACCTCATCTTCAATCCCACGGGCGCTAATATAGCTGTCCAGGTACTTGAATATCTGAATCACTTCCAGCTTCTCACCACCAAAGATCAGCGCAGGGGTGGGTCACCACCAAGCTGGCAGAATGACACTGTATTTCAATGGAGCAAAGCATAGCCCAAAACGATTGACAGCCAATGCTAATCGGTCCAGTGCTGCTTGACAACTTTGTGAGCTGTCACAGATTACGGCAATGTCATTCGCATAGTCAAATTCAAGAATCCGTTCACCAGGAAGTAGCTCCACAAATTGTATGTCGTGCCCAGTGAACACTGTTTTCATGACTTCGACAATAGCGAAGTTAAAGAGAAAAGCTGACAGCGGACAACCTTATCTCACACCGTTGGAGATATTGAAGGGCAATGAGAATTTGTCATAAACTCTCATTCTGTCTGCACTATGCGTGTACAGCGCTCTGATAATGCTTAGGTATTTATCGGGCACAGCTTTCCTCAGCAGACAGTCTCAGAGGACACATCGGTCCACCGAATCGAAGGCGTTTTTGATGTCGAGAAACATGACAACGGTGAGTCGTCAAGAAACATGGCAGTGCTCCAACAATTGACGCAAAGTGAAGATGTGGTCGATGCAGCCCCGACATTGCGGAAACCCGGCTTGCTCCTCACGAACCTCGGCATCACCACTGCTAGTCAATTTTTGGAGACTGACAAACACTGGCAATTGAGAGACAATTTACATCAAACGGATTCCTCGAAAATTGCCGCATTCGGTACGTAATCCATCCTTTTGAAAAGCTGAACTAATTTGGAGCGGCTCTATTCTTTCGTGACAGTTTCCTGCTCCTTAATTTTTACGAGTAATTTATGTAAATCATCTACTGCAGCAGGTCACTCGAAGTTGAATATGGGAGGAAAGAATTCCATCTGCCCCCGCTGTCCAATGTAATTTCACCAGTTTGATGTCACGTTCGTCTTCTGCGCGTGAGGACAGAGCCAAAGTGACGGTACTTGGAGAAGTGCACTTAATACCCAGAAAAAGAGCGATAACTCAAATTGGTTAAACTGTCTTACAAAGTGTTTGGCTCAGTACTAAAGGCGTATTGACAGGCAGTGGATCGGCTGTCCACTCTCGTTGCGTATGTTTTCGCTAACACCATGTCATTTGGTGCCTGTTTCCTGTATCAGACAGAGTGGTTACCAACGGCAGCGGCTGTTTCCACTTTCGATGCATGATGAGACCACCAGGCTTTGCGGTCTCTCTTCAGTCTGGCACATAGCTTTTCCCTGAGGTTTTTACTAGTCTCATTGTATTCGCTTCCAGCCGGAATACGTAGGTAAGCATCCAAAAGTTCCAGAGACTGTGTAGAGACCCAATGCCCAGTTTGGCATTTGGATTTGTCACATGAAGACATGACTGTTGATGGTAACGTCTGGCGAATATGCAACCAGCGCTTTTCCTCAGTGTTCATTGGGCAGTTAATCAGCCCGGATGCCAGAGTACTTTGATACGCATACAGAACACCTGGCTTCCCCAGCTGCCTAGTGTCATTGCGCTCAGAGTGACATTGCGGACGTCAGTCGAAACGTACCCAAAGGTCGGCACACAAAAGAGCGTGAGCGGAGTCAAAGCTCGTGCCACAAATCAAGCGACAGCTTTGGACACAGTCTCTCCAGCGGTAACTGATCGCGACATGATCGATTTGCGTCCATGGCTGGTCCGAGGCTTTTGCGGATGCTATTTCGAAAGTTAGGGCTAGCGAGAAAGGACGAGCATCTTCACGCAGGTCTAGCAATCGCTCACCGTTATCATTACGGGAGCCTACAGCAGGTTGGTCGCCCAAATGAAGCTCATCAGCGTAAAAATTTCCGACCTGGGCGTTTCGATCACCAGCAGGCACCACAGTATCCGTGCTTCTTCTGTAACGAAGGTGATGGTTAATTTGGTAATAGAAAGCATCTGTCACCGAATCAGTGCTACAGTTTGTAAGAGTGTAGGCCGCGATGACAAACAAGCACTGTTTGTCCCCGCGCGAATTCGAAGCCCGAAACGAACCATCTAATCTAACGGCGCACATCTGGCTAGTGACTGGGATCCAATCGGCCAAGGTAGCTTCAGCCCGGGGACTCCAAACAATGCGGACGCCAGCTTGACCGGCATTTGAAGCTGCGTCATCGTCAGACAGGCGCAGTGAGAATGTGTCGTCCGTGTTGCATCTAGAGAATCGCAAGATAAGCACGGAGCTGGAATATAGCAGACGGGTTTCCGATAAATAGCAAATACCGATCGATAGAGTCTCGAGCTTTTGGGCACGTGCTGCCTGTTGGCAGATCTGTAACAAAGTGCGCACGTTGAGGTATGCCAGTCTGCGAGAATCGAGGACCCAAAAGGGAAACAGATGAACTGACGTCCGTTAGGTTGAACATGGGTAGGTCGAATGGATTGGTGTGAAGCCCTGCGATTGTGTGTGAGCTGAAACAAGAAGACAATTGACTACTGAAGCAAGGTGGGGGAGGGCAAAGAATTGGGGGATCGAAAACGGGAGGCATAAAAGTGAAGTTGGCATGGTACGCTTAGGATAAAAAAGCACAAGAAGGGAATAAGAAGACTGTAAAACTTGCGCAGTAGCAAGCAAAACCCTATCCACCCCGATCGAAGCAGCAAATAAGGGACCGTTGATTATCCTCTGCGACAGCGAAAGCATCAAGAAACGGTTTGAAGTAAAGTTCATCGTATTGCTTGGGTAGAATACTGTCATGTTGCCCAGGCCTAGGCAGGAGAACGATTAGGTTACTCAACCAAAGCCTTTGGTTCAAAAACCTGTCCACAAGGCAGCGGGGTTTCGGCGCTGGTCCACAGAGAGCTCGTTTTATGGAGTATAAAGCCACCCTCACTTCAACCCCCAACCTGGAGGGCCAGGAGGCTGAGTTTGTCTGGCCTTTAAACATTGACCAATCTGGTATGAGTTGATCTGAAGGTGCAAACAGCACCACCTAACTTAGCTCAATGGATCACTGAGGCACACGAATCATTGCACTACGTTAAGGTCCAGTCTCATCGAGATGACGATAGCAACATGAGGCGAATCGCACGCGTATTCACTTTTTCAAAACTAGCTTCCTACGGGAGCATAAATTCTGTGCAAATGTCCTCCTATTTTCTCCACAGTGATCAGTTTGTAGCACTTTTTCAGACATAGACATAATTTTAAAAATATACCCCACTGCGGAACAACCGTCTATCTTTCCTCTCATATTAGGCAAAATTGCATAAGTATTTGCGTTTTGGAAGCAACTTGATATGTAATAGCGATTAAAAGTTTCACTGAAAGGGCACTTACCTCCTGTAACCTTCACTGGACTCGCGCATATCGAACGGAGCAAGTAAAGTCCATCTTAATAATTTTCCGTTTGAGAAAATTAAAGGAACTAGTTCCCTTCGACAATTTGAAAACCACAGTATGAAGACTAAAAGTGGTAGATGCATAGACTTCGTATAATTTCCTGAGTACCAGTAAGAATAACCGATATGCATTAATAAAGCTAAGAGTGGGTGCGACTATACGGAAGTTCATCCTCTACGACCAGGTCAACCTTAAGCAGACGAATAATTGCTTTGGAACGCACAAGATTGGCTTCATCCGGTTCAGAAATTACTTAACTAATATCGCTCATGAAGTGAAAATGGTAACAACTGGTGAAAACTGTGCTCTCACAGACCGACATCCTAACAAACTGGTGGTAATGAAACCCGACAAGCCCAATTAGGCTGAGGAAATGTGCTCCACACTAAACGATACGAGTAAATTTGAAGGACACAAAAGTGGAAGATATAGACAAAATCGAAATCCGCATAGCACCTCATCCTGAAACGGTTTTCCTCCATCGTCTCTAAATAATGTCACTCTTAACAGATTGAAACCGCGTGGTAGTACCTCTCTGCATTTGTAGGGGTCACGGAAAATACACAAGAGCGGTGTGCCACTCAGGCCGATTCTCTCAATCATGAACGCGACTCAGCTGTTGAAGATGCATTCTGCCTACCGTGTCAAGGACTCATTCCAACGCATTTACCACCTGAGGAAATCAAGCTATCTGACAAGGTTATGTGTTCCCTGGATGTGGGAGCATTGCTCACTAACGTCCCGCTACATCAGACCGTTGATGACGTATGTGAAGTAGCTGAACATTCTGGTTGCTCAGTACAAATTCCGGTTGAATTGTTGAAAGAATCCCTGTTATCGTCCACGGAGAATGTTGACTCATTTGTGGAACATATCGTACCACCAAATCGATGGAGTCGCAATGGGCATCCCACTAGGCCCTGTACTCGCTGATTCTCTATGTTAATGGCGGAAAGGCGTTTCGACAGAAAAATTCCAATTACCCCACTATGCACACTGTGTGGATTATATTTTGGTATTTTGTTCATCGAAGCAGCAGCTCGGGCAGTTGTTAGAGCGCATTAATGAAGCACATGCCAACTTACAGGTCCCCTGCGAAGTAGAACAAGCACATTGCCTGACAAATCTGGGCATCCTCATCCGGCCTGTGTATCGAAAGGTAACTTGATCTGGCCAGTACTTGCACTTCGCTAGTTTCGCACAAGTGCGGTACGACACTCGTAAAGACCCTATGTAGTCGTGCCAGATGAATCTGCTCGGCAGACTGTTTGACGGATGACGTTACGTTAATTACATCAATACTTATGGAGAATGGCTATCCTCGACGATTTATCGGAAAACACAGTCAACTGTGAGGACCGAAAGATTAGGTCTACCTGGCAGTTGAGATATTGGTCTATCTTGACCTAGCTTTCAGAGGTGATTTCAACATGCCGAAGACAATTAAGCGTATTATCTCGGTTAACAGTGTAGTTACTATGCTGCGCAAGTCCTAGTGATCAGCCGGACCCAAAGTTTGCCCGTCCCTCCTATGAAGAAATCTCGTCCTATCGGGGCCAACTAACATTGTGTATACCAACTGTGTATGTGTGTGTGTATACCAACTGTGTATACCAATTCATGTTAACTGCGATGCCAGTCTCACAGACAGAACTGAGAGGATGCTGACTTCCCGAATGAAGGCACACGTACCGAAAGGGGATCAGCGTGAAATTGCCCCAAACCCCTGCCCCCCTCAATATCCGTGCTCGTGTAGGCCAGCAACTTCCTCGATAGGCACGCCTACTGGTATTGCGTCATCAGATAGATGTTAGATCAGCGTTCAGATTTCTGTTGCGTCACGCTAATCCCTGCCCCCTTCGGTTTGCTGAGGCCGTCACTATAAGCCGGATGAACCCAGTCTTGTGGGTTCCAAAACAAGTATTCGTCAGCTTAAGACTGTGGTGAACATAGGTGTGAACTTCCGTCACTCATACTGCACCTTACGCATGTCTGGTCGTATCAGATGGTACCTATAAATATGTATGTCAGTTATTGGCAATGATAATGAGGAGTCAATACGAAATGTATGCATCTACCAGCTCTCGACTTCTTACTGTGCTTTTCAACTTAATTCCCATCCCATGCTTTGCGGCTGCGGTATTTCGTTTGAGTACCGTGCTTTTTGCTAAATGCCGCGAGCGTTTGACTCTAGGTTACAAATTACATATGGTTGTTTTTTATTGAACAATGAACAATGATTTATCACGGGATAGAAGCAAGTGCTTGACACTTCCCGTAGGATGGTTGAGGTGCATACAATGACATCAAAATATATGTGGGTCATCTACCGATCGTCTACCGAGAGGAAAATATTGATAACTAACGTCATTGTAAACTAGAAATCGAGTGTAAGCATGCGGAAACACACGGGGTGCAGTGGTCGTTGCTGTAAGGCGTGAGAAAAGTAAAATATGATCGCTCACTTATGCGCTGCCTTCTTGGGTCCATGTGACGCATAAATCCTATAGAAGGGCCTGGTTGGCATAATCAAAAATGGTATGGTTTAGGTAACAAAGTGTTGGAACTAAGAGCAACATCCAACCGTCTTTTGAAAATATCCTTTTTAGCGGAGGATACAACAGAGTCTGGCAGTGCGTTCCAGGGAGGACAAACCCGAAGCAAAAAGTCATTCCATCGACACTCCCACAATTCCAAACAGTTGCCACTGAACTGCCTGCTGTGGCTGTTTCAGCAAATATCAGCATACGTAGTTGGGGTCACTCAATAGTTGGTACCCTAGTATAAGATCTCCGTGCAGCCTTCGGTAGCGCCTGCTGAAAACGCCAAGCAACTTCAGCCTTCGGTTGTAAGAGTGATAGCACAAGCCTTTTACATTCTTTGCTGCTCTTCGTTGTGGTGCCTCTAATGCCTCTAGTTCGCGCTTTAATCAAGGTTGCCAAGCTTGGATAACGTTTTCAACGTGTGGGCACACGAAGGAATTACGCATCATTGGGAAGATTGATGGGTCAAACCTCCCGAATGCCTTTCGCAGCATTCCGACTTGCTGGTTGCCTCTTTTAGCCGCTTCTTCAGCTAGTTTTGTACAGCTGACGTCGCTCTGTACGAGCACACCAAGGTCACGTTCATGGGAGCTAGTCTGCGATTAGTGTGCCCCAAGCAAACACGTGTAGTCATCTCTATGGTGTAATTGCACAGTGCGACATTTTCTACGTTAAATAGTAGGGCCTCTTGAACTGATCAGTTCGACACCGTGTTAAGATCGCACCATTGGAACTTATCTTGCTGACAAATTGAGTTATGCTAACCATATGACATTTCAGCTCAGTTCTGTAGCATAATTCGTCCCTTCACACAAGTCTGTCTTAGAACTTTGTCCTTTTGCAACAGAACGTTTGTTCACCTTTACCACTACTGTTCATGGTGGATATTTCCCAGAACAACTTTCGGCTTAAACTAAAAAGGAAAAAATTCCGAATCGGCGCACTCAAGTTTATTCACTCCATGATTGGTTATCTAATCGAACCTTTACTCATTCGTGCAGACATGTTTCGGGTCTTCTGCGTATTTCAACAACGCGGCTTAACTGAATCTGATCTTCTGCATGCCGAAATCTGTGTAGCATCCGATCTTATTAAAAGAAAACGTCCTATTATCTTAACTGTTCTCTAAACTACTCATGGTACCTTGCTTTACATGTTGGATAAACATTCTGTTATGCACTGAGTTACTTCACAGGACACCAAATTCGTCCTTGCAGCACATACATTATGAATCACACTGTATTAGATGGTTGTATTGTATGACAAGTAAACTTGATTTTTATTTAATAGAGCATTCTAATTGGCCTCGAAGGTCCAGAAACCCGAACAATATTGATAACTAGACTCACCAGAGAATCAGTTTTGATTAAAGGCGGTGCGATCTGTCGTCTACTTGTCTACTATCCGAAGCATTATATGACAAGACTTGCAAACCAGTGGTCGGCAGGAAGTAACTGAATTTCACTCACGCTCAGGCTTGCGTGTTAGCGGCCGTGTGGCGGTGCTGCCGCCTCAAATGTAGCCAATGGTTGCCTTTCTTGTGTGAACACGTGACGCACGTAAATCGTGCGCACGCCTGAATATCGATCAGCAGATAGTTGCCAAGTGCGTCAATGGCCTAGGGCTGGACGGTGTTAGTTACTGGCTAGCAAGGAGTGCAATTAGTATAATTGTCACACCTAATGCACTCAGCGATTTATCCGGGATTTCATCCCACTCAGTGTCTAAGACCCAAATAACTGTCGGTCTTCTTAGACAGTTAATGTGTACAACACATAATTATACTCGAGGCATGCTATACTAAACTGCATTACGCGAGTTCCATACCTGAGCAGGTAGTTTGTTCACACGGTTGAAATTGGCAGCCTGTCTAAAGAAAGGCCGAATGATTTTCCTTTGAACGAGTGATTGTTTTTCTCCTGGTCAGCCACTTCAGCTGGCTACAGTGAGACAGCTTTATCTTTTCTCGCTACCTAAACGCTAAGCCCAAATTATGCCTGGACTGACTATGGAGTAATCTATTCACAATTCACTCATGATCATCGAATACAACAACCCCTATTTGCCATAACTTCCCCGACTGAAATCAGGGTTACTGGTTCCACGACCTGATGGATTGAGATGATCGTGACGAGTACACGTTTGTCACCACATATCAAACCGGGTGATAAAGCTGTTTGGATCTACCTCACGGAAATGAACTCTGATGGACAGGGCTGTGCTGAACGGCTTTGCTATAAACTGCTTAATTTGAAGTGTATACTTCTATTACTCTCAGGTTTTAATACAAATCGATTTTTGCATCTAAAACGAACATGAAAGCTCAGTCGGTTCCAAGCTTAGTATAGTGATCTGCCATCGTACACTGCGATGAACCGTCTGTCGGCAAAGTCCTGCTATAAACCGTTTAGTAGTGCAGATATCACCGATGAAAGTTAATCTAAGTCGTTAGAGTGAACAATGTTCTTATCTTTGAACTCGAACTGGTCTTGTCACAGACCGGCCGGCGAGATTCTGCGAGATGAGCCCAGCATAAATGCTGGAAGAGTGCAGTGGTCACATGTGCCACGTAGCACGTATAAGAAGCTATCATTAAGTGGACACTTGGATGAAGCAACTCGTATTCTGCGAAATGTCAAAACAGTTAAATTCACCATATCTGTCATACACGTGAGATCAGTTATAGCGAATCACGAACATTCAAGCTAGGCTTTATTCCTTAATTTTGGATAGTGAAACGTGCTGTTACGTTCAACAGATTACACAAACCTTTCAACTAGTAGCTCTAAATTGTCCGCGATATCGCAAGAGTGATACCAATGTTTCACTTAAAATGTACCTTTTAAAGACGAAACAGTGTAAATATTGTCCGTTTGCCACACATTTGTCATCATATTCGTTTTATTTGCATTCCTTTACCTTTAGTCGCTTGATCAACGTGGTCACACAGCGGATGGTCAACAATGGAACATTGGAACAATAGTTGGATACGGATAAAAAAGCCATGGCTCGACAAGTCCCGTGGGATGGTTTGTGGGAATAAGGTTAGTTCAATGAAGTTACACAAAAGAGAAAAGCGCATCTTTTGACTCACCATATTATCCACGTTAACACATCTGCTTATCCGTCTACCCTGATTTCCTGGGGTTGGTGACAACAATTTATGTCTGCGCTATGTCGTCACTGAATGCAGAGAAATCAGAGCAAGTAATGTAACCGGTGTAAAGCATCGACGAGTCGTTTATTAAACATGCGTAGCGTGGGCGCGGGAGTGACAGAAGTTGAAAAAGCGTTCCACGCCTGACAAACGCAAAGGGAAGAATAATTCCGGCGGCGCTACTGCCAACTGTATTGGGTAGCAAGTTCCAACTTATAACCACTCAATTTTGTGTTGTTGCCAAGCTGCAGGAGGTGGCGGCAACCTTGACGGGTGCTTTTCAAAATCTGGTACGCCAGGATGAGGTCACCCCGTTGACGGCGATATCTTCCGCCGTACCCTCCCAGGGCTTTCAGTCGCCAATGGTATTGCAGGTGGCGCAACCCTTTTGCATATTTCGTTGTCTGTCGCTTTGCACTCTCAGGTGCAGCCAGGTCAAGTTTTAACCAGGGGTGCCAAGCTTGGATCGCGTGCTCTGTGTGGAGCCTCACATATGCAATGAGAATTTGTGGGAAGATGGAGGGATCAAACCACCCGAACGACCTCCGTAAGAGACAAACATGTTGGTTCGCGGTTTTAGACGCTTTCAAGGACTGCGCCGAACAGCCGAGATCGTCTTCGTCACTACCCGAAGGTCTCGCTCCTGTGAGGCGATTTACAGAATGTCGTCTCCAAGCTTAGCTACGTACATGGGCTTGTGGCGAACATGCACGGTTTTGCATTTGTCTGTGTTAAAGGGAAGTGCATTTACCTTTGACTATTCAAAAGTGCTGTCTAAGCCTTGTTGCAACATATCGTAACCTTCTTGACAGTCGATTGCTCGCCAGATCTTGAGGTTGTCGGCAGAAAGCAGGAAATTTGACTTGATGACACTCGCAAGGTCGTTTATGAAGAATAAGGATAGTCGCGACCCAAACACTGACCCTTGTGGAATATCGCAATCCGTATCAATGGGAGCAGAAAAGGAGCCACAAACTTGAAACTGAAGAAGAAGCTGAAAGAGGAAGCGGCCGATCCATCTTAGGGCGGGGTTCCCAACTCCGTACTGTTGCAGCTTTTAGTGAAGGATGAGGTGAGCTACGCGGTCGAATGCTTTGGAAAAGACTAGGTGGATGACATGTATGCAAGTCCACAGTCGGCTACCTCGGTCCAACTTCCACGGGCGAGCAGTAGATTGGTAGTACATGACTGATACTGACGAAATCCACGTTGCTCTGGTTCTAAGATGTTAGTTAGACATTTCAAAGTAGCCCACTACAGTCTCAGCGATGATCGACTCCATCACCTAAAAGAACACCAGGAGGAGAATCACTAGGTGATATTTGGCTGGCTCTGAACGGCTACCACTTTTGAAAATCGTTGTAACGATGGCTTGCTTCTACATAGTTAGGACCTGCTGTTCGTCCTTACATCATTGGAAAAATCTCCTTAGTGGTTTATTTATCATCGTAGCAGCCACTTGCAGTGCTTTCGGGGGAATGTTGTCAACTTCAAAGGAGCTATGGGTGCACAACGATAGCAGCTTCCTCAAAATGATCGCTGAAGTAAACGTAACGTGCTTAAATACTGGCATCCGGGAGAATGGGGCAGGTATGTTACAAAAGCTTGGAGCGCGCCGGAAAGCTGGAGCATATTGTAGCCGTAGAACGTTAGCTTCATCCACGGCGGTTAGAACACATCCATCCGCTAATAGTAGCGGGGGAACACCACGTTTCACATTCCGGAGGCTGTTCACATGTCTTTACAGAAGCTATTTGTTGACAGAAAACCTTTCCGCTAAACTCTGCTGGTATGCTAATTTGTCCTCGCGCACAAGTGTGGTACACTGATTACGATGCACAACATAGTTACTCCAGTTGTCAGGGCTAGACTTCGCTCCATACACATGCCACGCGGCGTCCCTTACTGTCATGTGTTTTCGCGTTCTACTCCGAATGAATGATTTTGCCCTTGCAGCACGAAGGGGCCTGTTGGTCGATGCAGGTTTAGTCAGAGCACTGAAGTTGCCAGTAAAATCCAACAGAGCACCGTCAATGGAACAATTGTCCGGAAACTCCCAGCTGACATCTCCCACAATTTCTGCCAGTAGGTCGTAGTGGGTGATTGTTCGAAACAATTTGGTATTTTCTTGTGGACACTGCGTATACCACAAGAAGTCGTAAATTAAAGTTATCTGGTCACTTGGCCCCAGAGGACTCTCCAGCTTTGGTTTCTTTACCATGAGCTCTTTGTTCATGAGCACCAAATAAAGTACAAATGTTTTATTTCCGGCTTCAGATCAGTTGGGCGATCTGACATGTCTGAAGAGAGGAATGCTTGCAATATACTCTTGCACGTTTGCCTTGAATTGCGCGTTGGGAGATGCCGAAACATCCCAATCGTGAATATTAAAGTCGCCACAGATGAGAACATGGCTGTATCGTCCTCCTAGGACCCTTTCCAAAGATAATGCCAGGCGGTAGTTCATCGCTGGGGTGGATATTGGGGGACGATAAACAACGGCCAGAATGTAAGTGTCGTTGCGTCTCAGTCGCAGAGTGCACTAGAGTGAGTATATGATCAGCATTTCCTGATCGACCACAGGTTCGCGCTGCAGATCGTATCAGTAGTATAACAGTAACCCGCACGCTTGCTAGAGCGATCGTTTCGGAGAAGGGACATGCCACTTTTCCCAAACTCGGCATCGGTAAGTTTAGAGTGCAGCCAGTTTTTCGTAACGAATATGATGGCCCAGACATATGACGCTTGACGTAGTCGCAGTTCGGCCAGCTTGTTCCGGAGACCTTGTGCATTGGTGTACATAAAGGAAAGTTTCGACGTTGTTAGCAATGAATCGTGGGATATATTGTTTGGGTAATTATTGTTCCTACCGGTGAAATTTCGTCCACTAATCGTTTTTGGGTACGGTGATGACGAACTCATCTGTGTCCGATTCATGGACCCTACCATTACCTCTTTGCTTCTCACTTTGAATGTAATGTACGGTGTGTGTTTGCTAGTTTCGGTAGCTAGCTGTTTGCGATTATCCGAACTCTGGTCGGGAAGTGTTGCGACTAAGTGGTTGCTCTCGTGTGTTGCCTTAGCAGATGCTGCTTTGACCCAGAACCAGGAAGGTAGGCTGCTACGGCCCGCATACCAGCACTCCAGTATCATTGCTGACATTTGTCTGGATTGAAGGACCACTTTCATAAGGCTCGGTACGCATCCTTTGCAGTTCGGCGATCGGCGCAGCCTCGAGGTTGATTGCATTATGACCTTTTCAAGGGAGAGGGTCTTGCAGATGTACCGATATTGCTCCTGATCGTCAGTTGTTACTTTGCGCTCA